AATGTGACCATTCAGAAACGCCATGTGTAATACTGTGTGTGACGTAAGCTATGCCAACCACAGGCACGTATAAATAACATCACTTAGCCCAGTGCTTGACCGTCTTCCTTCTCTGGCAGGTTTGTGGGGAGGCCGGCTGCAGCCTGGGAGTGGGTTTTCCTAAAAATTAAGAGCGAGTAACTGCATCAAGCCGAAGAAAGAGAAATGGGGGTGAAAAGAAGAAGGGGCTGGCTGAGTGCTGAGCTGAGGGACAGGACTCTACAGAAGGACCACCCCTCACCCTTAAGCACCTCTGCTCAAGGAGCCGATGTTTAAAGCACGGGGTGGCTTTGTGGCTGAGTGTTTTTGGCAGTTTGGAAAGGACCACACAGAGGTGGCCATGACTTCCCTTTGCCAGGCCACTGACCAGGAGGGTGCCTCCCTCGCAGGAGGAAGGCAACTAGTGGGTGGAGGTGAGGGAGGAGGTTTACCCCCGGTGTCCAGAGGTGAGGCCTCACTCTGCAAAATGGCCACAGCCATCAGCAAGTGATGGAGGAGCTCTTAAAAAGAAACCTGGCACTTAATTAACTTTTCAAAGTACTGGTTCAGCAGCCTTCCAGCCACACATTCTGCATAGTGAACGCGCATCTCTAATCAGGTGTGAATTGCCCTGGTCCACCGCGGTGAGAGCGCCTGTGCTTTGGTGTGAGCACCGTGGGCTCCTGTGTGCATCTCAGGACGGCATCCAGGAACAGAGGCTTCCTTCCCTCCACTGACCACTCGGGGGCTCTGGCTGTTCCCTCCTCACCTCAGCCTTCAGGCCATGTCCAAGTTCATTAACACTTCTGGGGAAAGAAAGTAGGCGGCTCAGAAGGAGGGGGCAGGTAGGTTTCCGATTGCTGCTTAGCAACTGGAGCGTTCAGCCTCATATCTGAAATAAGGTTAGGGCAGAGTCTCACAGTCGTGCCTGGGGCCTATTTCTGGAAATTACTATGGGGGTTGGTTAGCACATGTTCACTGAAGAAGCTCCCCAGGTGTGATTCGGTTAAGAGCTACCTGCTTAAAGGACTCCAGCTTTCCGTTGTCACAGCCTTCTGTTGCCTTCTGGGAGTCAAGAAGGGAGTGGCTGCAGTCAATCCAGACAGATGTCTGGGTGCCCGGGGACACTGGGAAATCAGGCGGGATCCACTTTTGAAAAAGCTGGGGGCAACGTGTTTGGGACCTGAGTGAAAGTCGGGAGTCTGGTTTCAGCCTCGTCACTAACTAGCTCTGTGATTTGGGTGAAGCCCCCCTCCGCGGCGCCCAGGGTCCCTGGGTGTAAAGGGTTCTGCTGAATCCTGCTGCACTTCTGTTCCACAGCTCAATTGACGGTGTCCTAGACGTGGGAGTCTAGAGGGTCTGAAACAGTGCTCTGTCTCTGTGGGGTGATCTTACTAGCATTAATAGCCACTTCTAGGCAGCCAGGCACGAGGTCCTGGGGGGCAGTAATGGACAGGAAGCCCAGGCCTGCACTCCATAGACTGCCTGCCGCCACCAGACCTCGCGGGCTTCAGTGACAGCATCAGTTCCCTCAAGTTGGGGAAAAAGTACATCTGTGAGGAGGTGACCCAGAATCCACGGTTCTCCTACCTCAGCCCCTGTGGGGAGCAGAACATCAGCACCAAACCCCTCTCTGGCTCACCCCTGGCAGGCTGGTTTAGGTTTTTGTTTGTTTGCTTGGTTTTTTTGAGGGGAGTGGGGCTGGTGTAGCAGGGATTGAACCCAGGGGCACTTGCCACTGAGCCACGTCCCTAGCCCAATTTTATATTTTATTTAGAGACGGCGTCTCACTGAGTTGCTTGGCGCCTCCCCATGGCCAAGCTGGCTTTGAACCCATGATCCTCCTGCCTCAGTTTCCCGAGCTGCTGGGATTACAGGCCTGAGCCACTCGCCCAGCCATTAATTGTTGTTTTTAACCTGTCACCAATAATTAAAAATACACCCTACATTATGTTAGGTTGTGAGTAAAACTAAAAACAAAAAGCTTATCCAGTTTGCAGTACACTCTTTTCTAGGATATAAAAAAGAAAAAGAAGAAAAGGAAAGAAAAAGGAAGGAAGGAAAGCAAAAGCAAAGCAGGCTGGTGGCCATCTACTAAATTTATCTCATGACTCTAAGGGGTCTTTAGGAACCTGTTATTAGATGCTCCGTCTCCTGAGCCTGTCACTGTGCTGGCCCCAGGTGCCTCTGGGAACAAATAAAGTGATTCGGAAATGGGTTTTACTTCAGATTCTGTTCTGAGACACCATGCAGATTGTCTGTGTGTTCACGTTTCTGTAGAGAAACACTCTCCCAGCTATTCTCCCAAAACATGCTTCCCCTCAGCCTCCTTTTTTCTCACATTTGATATCCCCTGGAGCTGTAGGAACCTCTCCACCCACCTACTGCCTCTTGTGAGAGAACCAGCAGCAAGACTCAGTGCTGCGGAGCTAGTCCTGGGCTTGGTGGGAGGGCGCCCTAGGTAGGGACCAGCGTTAGCAGAAATCTGAACTTTCATGAAGAAAATCTCCCCATTTGGGCAACAAATTTATGTTAAAACAAAACAATAAACAAACCAAACTCTCGTACACACTGGGTAAAGTCCAGAAGTGGCCAGTTTCCATCTGTGATGAAGATCAGAGGCAGGGGCTCTATCCCATTAGGCTCCCTGTCCACAAGGAGGAAGTACCCAAACCTGTTATTTCTGGCAGAGAGAGAGCATGCCACCTAAGAGATACCCTGCTGCCTATTCCTGATAACTCCTTTTTTTAAAATATTTTTTTTTAGTTGTAGATGGATATAATACCTTTTTTTTTTAATGCAGTGCTGGGGATCCTCACGCATGCTAGGCAAGCCCTCTAACCCTGAGCCACAACCCCAGCTGCCTGAAGACTCCTTTGAGCTCCCTCCTTCCTGTCTGGGCAGAGTCCTTGGGCTCCCTCTAGAGGGGGAGAAAACAGGATGTGGGCTCTCTGGCAATTAAGATGAATATTAAACTCACCCCCCTTTTTGGGTGTTGGGTGGATAAGTGGCAGTTCGTGAGACTCCCCCCAAGGATTCACTGTCATTATTACTGTTTCCTTCAGACAAAACCGCCACTGCTTTTTCCAAGCACATTGCTTAGGAAAGGAACGATTCAGCCACGCTCCTGAAGGCAGTCACAGCCGAGTATGTCCCTTATGTACAAAGTGAGGGTGGGTCTCATCTGCCTCACCTCCATTACCTGTTTTTCTCTTACCCCTCTTCATTCAGGCATTTCCACCATTCGTGACATGTTGGCCAAGTCATTTGAAAAGTAGGCTTAGCGAGTTTGACTTGAGGATGGTTAGAGGCAGTGGTTCTAGGCATGACAGGAACTAGGATGACTTCGTCCTCCCACACAGAAGGTGGCCGTGGGGGCTCGGAGCATTGGCTCAATGGTCCTCTGACTAGAACAGGCATTTTGTGAAAAATGTGAATACACCGACAATCTGCATGGTGTCTCATATTCATGCATCCTGCCTTAGAATATCCCATGTCACCCAGCAATAGGGGCGATGCCCAGGGCCTCTGGTACAGCCTGCCTTGGCTGCTTGCCGCTGCCCTCTCTGTTCCGCCTCCCTCTACCCTAGCCACTGGGCCCCTCTTCTGCCCTCCAGAGCCAAAAGCTGCAGCCTGGGAGGTCTCTCTGCAACCCCCAACTCTTTCCTCCCTTCTGGTGTCAACCATCCTTTTTTTTTTTTTCCTAAATAGTCCAGTTGATGTAGTCTATATTTCATGGAAGTTACTCTATTTTAAACTCAGGCTTAGCATATATTTTATTTTTGGCTTTTTTTTTTTAATAAAAATGAAATTATGGCTAGACTCTCAGGGAGAATCATTTACACCTTGCAGGAATTGGTGGTTGGCTTCAGGACAGCTCTTCCTGGTGAGGTCCGTGGTCCCACCCTGTCAAGGGCTTTCTCATGCATCCTGCCTCTGGGCTCTAGGGACATGGCCACCACCTCTTTGAACCCTGGCTCGCCATGCTAGATTTCTGGCCCAAAAATTCATTTAAACAACACACAACTCTTATTGTAGGAATTTTTAGACTAAATATGTGATCACCATGCCCACAGCACCCGGCTTTATCATCATCAGTAATTTGCCAGCCACAGTTAGAGGACTTTAGGTTGGGGTTTTGCACAGTGTCAGTAGTACCTCCTTAGATTAGAATTATCTGAACTTTTTTGAAAAAAAAATGCATAGTCCTAGGCTCTTCCTCTCCAAACCAGCTGATTCAGGGACTTCCCACTGCTGGAAAAGCAGTCATGTCTAACAGTTTCCCCAGATGTTTCCTGTGCCACTGGGTATGTGTCAACCATGCAGCCTATTCCTCGTGGAATGTCATGGGGGCACTCCTTGGGTGGAGGACACAGATAACTAGTGGCCGAGCCTACAGGCTAAACTTCTGCCCCCAAGAAGCTCGACATGCTGACAATTACCACCTCCAAATAAGAAAACACTTTGATTTTCAATGGGACAGTTACTATTGAAAGGAGAGTGCCATATCATTTGTGTCCATTTCGGTTTTAAGGTCCTTGTTGAACCTGCTCTTCATCGTGACAGTTTCACTTGTAGTTATGCTAGAATAAAGCAGTAACAAGGCGCTGTAGCATCTGTGGTTTGTTTGTGCTGATTATGGGGCTGGTCTAGAAAGAGGAATACGATAACTAGGCATGGTGGCACACAGGTAGAATCCCAGCTACTCAGGAGGCCAAGGAGGGAGGATCACAAGTTCAAGGCCAACCTCAGCAACTCAGAGAGACCCTGTCTCAAAATAAGAAGGGCTGTGAGTGTGGCCCAGTGGTAGAGTATCCCTGGGTCCAATCCCCAGCATAAGGCAAAAAAAAAAAAAAAGAGGAATCAGATAATTAAAGCACTGTGATATACTAATTTGTCCCCACCTTTGAAACCCTTTCCCAGAACATTACCCCAAATGTGAGACTCGTGTGTTCTCAGAAACCTCATCTTCTCTTTTGCAGGTTTGGGAGGAAGGCTTCAGAAGAGATAGAAGAGTATGTATCCAGTTTTCCTATGGCATCCTCTGGTGACCTTTGTCAACAGCATAGCCCTGGTGGTCATTATATCTTCAGCCTGTGGTGAACACAGCGTTTAGAAATAAGATAGCACAAATCTGGCTGTGGACCAGGGCTGGTCTCATGCATACTGGGTCAAGGGCTTGGACAGTGCTGCCTCCCTGGCTGACGGTCTGGACTGTGGCATCGGTGCCCACATCATCTCTCCCACCGAGTGGTCTCAGAATTGCTGTGTGCTCGTCTCAGGATGCTGACCTAAGCTTGACAGAAACAGGCAGAAGCAATGCCAGCTTGCTAAGCCTTACCTCCTCCTCACATTTACCTCAAAAAGAAAAAGAAGTTTCTAGATAAATGTGACTGTAAAAGCAAGGCCACCAATGTCACACCTCCAGGGGCCGGGGAGCATTCATGTCATGATGCGTGAGGATGGCCTTCAGAGTGGAGCATCAGGCAGGCTGTGGAACCATACATGGCAGAGCCAGTTGCCCAGTTAGGTCTGAGCACGATGGGGGATGAAAGCTGGCGTAGGGACATCGCCACCTAAGAGAAACAGTGGCTGCAATAAAAAAATGGGTAGTTCCTTTTGGGGTTTAAAACTTATCATCTTCTCTCTTTTTCTTCCTTTTTTTGGGGGCAGCCACCGCCTCAGACGGCACAGCCTGGATGGAATGGATGACGGAGGAGGTAAGATGACCTTGCAGGAAGTCAGGCATCTAGAGAGGGCGCAGAGTCCTGGGCATGTCTTGGACTGCAGCCTTGCTGAACTCATGTGCAATGGTCTCCTCACGCACAGAGTCCCATCGCCATGCCTTGCTAATGATCTTGCCTCTGCTCGGAGTACTTTACCCCCATCGTTATCCACTGACCTTGCTTGTCCTTGAAAACCTAACCAAGTGTCGCCTCCTCTGGAATGTCTTCCCTTTCCATCCTATCCTCTCTCTCAGATGTCCTCTGTGCCCCCACAGCCTCCTTGGCAAATCTCCACTGTAACGACAATAGCTAGACCTTCCTGGGTGCTCAGTGTGCACCAGGCACCAGCACTGCCAGTTCTGACAGTTTGTAGGTTACAACATTGAACCTCACCACAACTCTTCAGATGGAGAGTACCATTGTCATCCCCATCTCACAGTGATGGGAACTGAGGCACCAAGAGAGTGCCTGAGGTCACAGCGCTGCTAGGATTTGAGTACACTTAGGAGGTCCCACTCTGAGTCTTTGTTGACTTGGTTGCCCCCCTCCCCATCATCTGCCCCAGACACTAAGCTCCTTGATGGCAGACACTCTGACTTATTCACTTGGCATCTGCAGTACTGACACATAGTAGTCGGTTAATACTGACTGTGGAAGTGAAGGACAAATAAGGACTAGAAAGGCCAGCGGTTGTGGCTCCGCATCAGCTTGTGTTCAAGACTCAAGGGAAGAGATGTAGTCTGTGTGACTCTCTCAAAGCAACCTACTAGAGGGGAGCTTATGTTTGGAACCTAAAGTTACTAAAGCTTTTTTAAACGCCTGCATATTGGGTTGGGGCTATAGCTCAGTTGGTAGAGTGCTTGCCTTGCATGCACAAGGCCCTGGGTTTGAGCCCCAGGACTACAAAAAAAAAAAAAAAAAAACTTACTTATTTACCGTTTTCATACTTCTCACTCCTTTATGGAGATCTTGGTTTCTCCCTGGCATCCGTTTCCTTCAGAACTTGATCCTTTTTGGTGGAGCAGGTCCTCAGCAGCACCGTCTTCCTGCCTGAAAATGTCTTCACTTTTCACCAGACACAGAACTCTAGGCTAATGTTTTGTTTTTTTTCTTTTAGCACTTTAGTTACTTCATTGTCTTTGGTCCCACATTCTTTCTGGTGAGACATCAGTAGTCGTTCTGTCTTTGTTCCCCTCTGTGCAATGTAGTTCTTTTGTGTATGTGTCTATTCTATTTGAACTTCCAGAGTCTGTGGATTTATAATCTTCATCAAATTCAGAAAACAATTTTAGCCAGTATTTCTTTCTTTTTAAAATAGTTTTATTAATTGTTGAAGGACCTTTATTTACTTATTTATAAGTGGTGCTGAGAGTCGAACACAGTGCCTCACACATGCTAGGTAAGTGCTCCACACTGAGCCCCAGCCCCAGCCCCACCAGTATTTCTTTATGTATGTTTTTCCTTCCACTCCTTCTGGGGCTCTAGTTATGTTTGTCCACACTGTTGTCATCGAGGCAGTGGTTTTTCTGTTATTTGTTTGTTCTTCAGTCTGCTTTTCCCTTTTCTTCTGTTTGGATGGTTCTCTTGCTGTGTAATTGCTCTTTTCTTTTTTGTGATTTTTTTTTAATGTCCAATCAACTATTAAAATAGCCCATTCAGGGACTGGGGATGTGGCTCAGTGGTAAAGTGCTTGCCTGGCATGCATGAGGCCCTGAGTTCAAATCCCCAAGCACCAAAAAAAAAAAAAAAAATAGCCCATTCAGTGAATTACTATTTCTAATAGACTTTTCAGCTCTAGAGACTTCATTTATTCCTTTTGAGGAGTGGTTACTGGTGGTTAAGCTGAGGAACATTCTACCACCAAGGTATATCCCCAGCCTTTTTTATTTTTATTTTGAAACAGGGTCTCATTAAGTTGTTCAGCCTGGCCTTGAACTTGGGATCCTCCTGCCTAGCTTTCTGAGTAGCTGGGATTACAGGCCTGCGCCATCCTCTTGGCTGGTTTTCTTTATTCTTGATGATAGGTATTATAGTAGCTGTTTTCACGTCCTTTTGCTGCTAATTCCATTGTCTCTATCTTTTCTGAGCCTGTTTCTATTAACTGATTTTTCTTCTGATTACAAGTCATATTTTTCTGCTTCTTCACACAATTAGTAGTTTTTGACTGGATGCTGGACATTGTGGATGTTCCTGTGTTGAATGGCTGGATTCTGAGTCTTTCTTGAATGACTGACCTATTTATTTTGGTAGGCAGTTAATGTATCTCTTCGTTTTGAGAATTGTCTTGGAGCCTGATAGGGCAGGTCTGGAGTTAGCCCTAAACACTGAGACACTAAGGGGTCTCTGCTGAGTGCCTGTTCTTCACTAAGGTCTCTCCCCTCTGGCTGGATGGAGCTGAGCCTCTTGCAGTTCCATACGGCTCTGGGGATTGTTCAGCTCACATTTTCCCGGTGCTAATTCTTTGCCCAGCCTGTGGCCTTTCACCTTACATAGGCATGGCTTACCTACAGACAGTCCGGATCCTGAAGCTTTTCCTCTGCACAGCTTCCCAGTCTTCTCTTCCCCGGCCTTGTTCAAGTCACACTTAACTGGGGCCAGAGAACTGAATTAAGTTAGCTAAGCTGCCCGGGTGAGTATTTGGCACACGAAAGATTGCAACCTGCTTGCTGTGGTGCCCCTGAACATCAGGACTGAGCACTGGAGAGTATAGGGGTCATGTGAAAAAGTACTTCCACCTCATCTCATCCCAAAGGGGTTCCAAAGCAGAAGAGTCAGCACTAGAGGTGAGACGGGCAGCCTACCTGTGGGAGCAGGGGAAGCCTCTGAGCATGCTCTTGTCTTTCCTCCGCAGTTTTCTTTACTTTCAGTATCTCCTGTCGACAAGCTCGTTCCTTTTTGCCAGATCTTCTTCCTTTAGCTTTAGCCACTAATCTCCTTTCCGCTGCCAGACTTTATCCCTAATAATTTCCAGTGACCCTGGTAACTAAGACACCTGCATTTCTGTTCTCGAAGTTTGTTTTCTCAGACCTGTACCTGGGATGTCCTGCCAGCCCTGAACTGGCAGCTCGGTGATTGGTGGTTGCTGGCCCTGCTTTTGATCTGACTGTCCTAACAGACTGTCAGCTGCTTCAGCCATTAATTGCACAGGACAGTGAGGTGACTGGGAGGACGTGCCAAGGACTCAAGGAAACAGGGCCTCCTCTAGATGTTAATAAAAGTGTTAGCCAGCCGGGCGTGGTCGCGCATGCCTATAATCCCAGCAGCTCGGGAGGCTGAGGCAGGAGGATCATGAGTTGAAAGTCAACCTCAGCAAAAGCAAGGTGCTAAGCAGCTCAGTGAGACCCTGTCTCTAAATAAAATACAAAATTGGGCTGGGGACATGGCTTAGTGGTCAAGTGCCTCTGAGTTCAATCCCCACCCCCAAAATAAAAGTGTTAGGAGGTTAAGGAGCAGCATGTGAGAAAATTTTTATAATGCTAGAATAATGGTTCTGGAGTCTCAGATTTGAACGAGGGAGAGGGAGATGGTGATGAAGGCAGGTAGTTCATAGCATGAGGATCAGGCCAGTCTGGGATGGCACATAGGAGTGAGCATACTGCAAGTCAGCTGTGGGTCTTCTTGGGATAGCTTCAGTCCCCAGTTGCTCGTGTATTTGTCAAAACACTGAGAGACTTGTGATGTAGGGAAGAAAACATTACATTTCAGGAGAAAGATTTTAAGAGTTTTTCAGCCAAAACTTCCAAATGAAAACAATTAAAGTCATTGTCCTGTTGGAGGGCTAGTCAGCTTTCCCATACTCTGTCTTTTCAACTCCCTGGAAAGGACTTCAGAAATCCTACTTTCTCCACCTTTATCATCATAGAAAATGGTACATTTCAAGGAGTAACCTTAAATGTCACAGCAAAACTTTCTGAATGCCGCCGTTTGCCCACGTGATAAATGCATGCTATTAGAAGGTTGTATGGGCTGCCATGAGAGATTTCACTGTAAAAGCAAATTGTTGTGCTGCAAGGAACTCTGTAGGCCCTCTTGACCAAACCTGCCATGTGGAAACATATTAAGAAATAGAGGCTTACAGATTATTATACAATATAGTGGGACTCAGGGAGACTCTGGTCTTCTGACGCCCAAGAGAACACTTGCTATTGGACCTCAGTGTCCACTAGCATTACCATCGTCAGGTATTACCAAGCATTTATGTGCCACCAACCAGGCCTAGCGTTTTACGTTTTCTCTTGTTTCATTCTCAAAACAAATCCATGAGAAATTTTTTTAAATCATCTTTGTTGATATCTTATTTATATATAGTAAACTGTATCCATTCAAAGTGCATAATTTAAGTTTTGACAATATACAAGTCCTGTGTAGCCATCACCGCCATCAACATACAGAACATTCCCATCACCCTCCCGCTATAAGACAAAATTTCCTCATGCCCCTGTCCATCCCTCTTCTGCCCCTGGTCTCAGACCACTACTGATGTGTTTTTTATCAGAATATTTTCATTTTATGTAATTTTATGTAAGTGAAAGCATAAGTATACATGCATCTGTGCCTGTTTTTTTTTTTTACTTAGCATAATGATTGTGAAATTCATCCTCATTATTGTATGTTGTTAGCCTGTTTGTTTTTATTGCTGAGTAGTATTCCATTGTATGGACATACCATAGTATGTTCACCTGTCAGTAGACATATGAAAGGTTCATTATCCCCATTTCAAAGATGAGCAAACCAAGATAAAGATAACTTTTTCTAAGGTCACACAACTAGTTAATGGCAGCACCAGGATTTAGAGGTGGGTCTTGAACCCCAGAGCCCTCACTCTTAGTCTCTGTAACAGATGCTGGGACCCTCAGAGAGGCTTCGGGTGTCTCATTCAATGAGTTAATTTGTACTGATGTCAGTTTCCAGATTTATAACATAGAGCGCCTCGAGTGATTGATGGGGTGCTTAACAACAATTTCACTAAGGAAGGAAAAAAGAAAGATGCCTAT